GAGAAAAATAATAATAATAATAATAATAACAAAAAAAAACCTTGATACGCGAGAGTAGTAAAAAATTCCGGTTTATGTATGTACACGCACACGCATGCGTAAAAATACGGGAAATGCAATTCTGCTATTTTTTGCAATATTCCATTACGAATTTAACAATTACATCATTTGTCCACAGAACGTCGAGAAAAGACTCACGGGGTTAAAAATTGCTCTGGAATATTTGTGTTAATGCACGTACGTAATCCAATTTACGGTGTTTTCGAAATATTATAGGATATTTTTCTCTCACTGGGTGAGAGAGCAACTTTGTTGCTCGCGATGATTGATTAAACTCAACGCCCTTCCCGACGACTGTGCGATGCGGTTTTATCTGTATTTTCGTTATGTATGTACATACAGCGAAGTCACACGATTTGGAAAAACGCTCATCGCAAAAAATATCATCGACAAAAATTGCACGCGAACAGTGAGATGTAATCCAGTTAGTCGCTGATTGAACTTTCATAGAGATGCAAAACTGTATTGTATTAAGAAAAAAGTGAGCAATATTTCGGATTGCGCCGTGAGAAAGTAATTTCGAGAAGCCATTTCGTGCTGCACAGTGTGTTCTCAGATGAAAACGTTCAAGTTCTGCTCAGTCAATTTTTCGCTCGCGTCCAATATACAAATTTGTCACGGGATCACATGATCTCTCTCTTCCTTTTTTTTATCTCTTTCTCTTTTTGTCGCGAAGTCATTATTTCTCAGCGTTAAAAATTTTTAACGTTACGATACCGATACACACATTCTCGGTTTCTCGGTTTGAAAAGATAACACAGATGATAAATAAACAAGTGAAAGAGCTCGTGAAAATTTCAACAATAGGTTAGAGGGGTAAAGGATCAATACGAATCATCATACAGAATGTTGGTGTATAAAAATATAGTTTTCATTGAAAAAAAGCAATAGAGACGTTTCGGTTCATGAATCGGATTGTTTTTTCAGTGAATGCTTTGTATTAAATTACAAGAATTTTATTAACATTATGTCAAATACAGACAAATTAAAAATTAAGAAATTATTTCTCTTTACAATATATTTCTTTTTATAATATATAGAATTATTATATAGAAATTTAAATAGAATTCGTTTTGTTTGTCATTTTTCGTTTTTTCTTGTTTTGATTTTAAAGAAATTTTTTATCGAATTTTATGTTAAAGAAAACTATATATATATATATAAGCAAGATTTGTAAAGGTATTGTGTTCTTATCTTTGTGATGGTTTGAATATTATTCTGGTTATATCTTTAACAAGTATTATTTTATTTTTATTTGACTTTTATTTTTATTTGACTTTTATTTTTATAATTCTTTTGAAATTTTATAATTAGAGAGAGAGAGTTTTTATTATTATATAACTATTTTCATAGTTTTTTTATAATTTATTATAGGTTTTTAAACAGACGTTTTATAGATTTATTTATTTTTAAGTTTTTATAACCTAGATATCGTTTTATTCTATTGTTGATATACCTACTTTTTCGTTTTTGATGAGATTTTTTATTTATTATTGCAAAGCGTTTATATCGCAGTTTACAATTTTATGTGTTGGTAATTTTTTTTTAGTTTTTTTTAGTTTTCTAATTTTACTCACTTATTCATTGAAAATCCGAGCCACACGGGTCAAAACGTCTGAACTGTCATTTTCAGCTACATTTTTTTTTTACACACCAACATCCTGTATGTATATTGACTCGTATATTGGTCCTTTACCTATTGTTGACGGATAATAAACTATAAATTACTATTCGGAATAAATAATAGTGATTTCTTTCTTTTTATCTTTCTTTTAACTTGCGTGCAACAATGAAACGGTGTTACACGCCTTTCGTGTTGCAATATATTTCAAACCAATGTCCGTTCTGCACGGATATTCGATCGATTGCACGTAGGTAATTGCATCTATATTTGATCACCGCGTGTGTACAGTATTTCATGATGTCTATTATCTGATATATGATTAACCTACTATGTGTCTACAACATACATTTCTCATAATGAACGTCAGTCGAACAATATAATACACGTATTGTAATTAGCTTTCAATGAGGTTCATAGAAGTTCATATTATTATCTATTCTTTGTATATAATTGTATGTATTTTTTTTTGTATGCACTATTTGAACATTTCGCTCGCTAAGTAACTCCGTGTGGATTCCGTAAACAAAACTGAATTTCAATTGTAATTTGGTGCGTGTGTGTGTAGCGTCGCTCTTCGCGTAAGTTAAAAGCACCGTGAGTGAGTGAAATTAAAAGTAAATCGACGCAACTTTTTATTCGAGTTATGAGATACATCGAGCTCTGACGGTAAATACGAACGTGAATAATTCAACAATTTTGGGCAAATACAGGAATATAATCGAAGATTTTTTCAACTATGTATTTTTTTACTGAGAACAACGATATTACATACATCAATATAACGTCTTGTTGAAAATTTATGTATCTATAGACGACGATGTTCATTCAAGGAGAGAGAGAGAGAGAGAAAGAGAGAGAGAGAGAGAGAGAGAGAGACGGTATTTGAGAGGGTATATGGAAATGGATCGATAGCCATACATACGACGTGGGGTATGTCGTTCTTGTTCGGTAAGCACCGATTCCGTTGATCCGCGCGTCGAAAAGCTCATAAGCTCACCGACCATCCGTGGTTCGAATTCGGACCCCTACATGACTAGCGTGGAGGTTGCGGACGAGGCCGTTGAGCGGGCGGATAAGCGCGCAGGATACCGAATGGTTCCCCGCTTCCGCCGAAATCGTCTAATCGTACGTACCTATCTCACGCGGATTAAACGGCAAGCCGGTTAAACGAGGTCAGTGTTGATGCGTCGAGTGAATCTATGCGCTTAACGCTGTAAATTGCATCAATCATAGCGGAGGTTTATACGATGTTGCGCGTCAGAAGAAAGACATAATAATTTAGCGAATAATGTGCAAAAAGACGAAAGCTGAAAGATAATGTGTACTGCTTTTTCGAGCTCTTATTTTGTTGTTGATTTTTAAATTTAAAAAAGCTTATCTCGCGTACGTATACGAGGATAATTTATTTGTCAGTATTCAGCGCGCGGCAGCAACATTAAGTGCACGATTTGCGAAGCAACTACGCAAATATAAAATAATCAAATTATTAATTAAAAAAAAATTATTAATTAAATAAAAAATCGAAGTATTATTAGTTAAGCTATTAGAAATATATTGGGCTATTGAGACGCGATGATGCATAAGAAACGAGAAAGAGAGAGAAAGAGAGAGAGAAGAAGAGAGAGAAGGAGAGAGAATGATGGACGTCTAGCCGCGCGGCTAATCACTCACAAAGGCTTCGCTCCGCAGGTTCAGACATTGATGAATTCTCGTTCGCTAAAACGTACACGGCCGAATGACGCGTGTGCGCGCGCGAAAATAACCGCATGTTGCGTAGGGTTGTCGAGACACGCACACACGTACGAAGGTCAAAGGACACAAGAGGATATAGGACCGCACGATTAATCATTCAATCTTTTGACAAAAAGCGGAAAGCTCGTCGGATTTTCAGAATGACGGTATCTCCTCCTGTCGCGGGAAAAAACTAGCGAAAACCAATTGATAGAATGCTCGCGTGTAACGATTTTAATTTGTCTACAATCGAGACTATTTATTAGTCATTCGTTCGGGAGAGAAATTCCGCACTTTCTTCCGCAAGCAAGTCAAACGTATCGACAAAATTGAGTAAAACATATACTCTCGGATTATGTTTCTTTTATGTCTTATAAATATATTTAAAATAATAATAATATATTAAGTTTAATAATAATATAGTTACGTTAAATAAATGGTGAAAAAATAAATCGGGTTGAAAAAAAAAGAATCGAGTAAAAAAACTAGGATTTATGTCTATACTCATCCGTTTGCACGTGTAACGCGACTTTCCGAGAAAGATGAGACATTTAATATAGGCGTATAGATCGACAATCGAGGACAAAGTCGGCGATCGAGTTCAAGTTCTCCTATCGGTCTTAGCCTGACCTAGACAATTATAGACGCTTCAATAGCGCGAGGACATATACACAACTGTCTCGCACACGCGCATGTGGGAAAGCGAATTCTCTTCCGCCAGTTTGACTGGTGGAAAACTTGAGCCGCGCTTGACTTTTAAAACTCGAACGGTACTACTTGTTCGACCGGTCGCCCAAATCTAACAAGTTCGAACTGTCGCGGAAAATGGATTCGACCGTCTGTGCGCTCCTGACATTTCCGTCCAGATGGTTAAAAGCTTGTTCAAGTTTCCGTCCTCGATTTCCTGCGCATCCGTCCGTATTACCTTGTTGGCTCGCGTGTGAGACGTTAAAATTGATTGTTCGTAATAATTTCCCGGTGGCACCGAGAATACCTCACTGTCCCGAAAACTCTGCTTTTCGAGATTCACGGATTTTGGCTGACTTCTCTCTCTTTCTATCTACCTATCCATCTATCTCTTTCTCTCTCTTTCTCTCTGATATGAACTCGAATTTATACATAAATATCAGTGTGTAATATAGGACGCCGGAACAACGCTTGATTTCTTTCCCGTGAAATCGATTTTGTAAAAAGATTCCAATATACGCTTTTGTGGTTTAATCAATTTTATTGCACGTGTTTTTTTAATGTTACTGCGATTGAAACAACGCGAATGGGGTGGAACGCAAATTGGCACATTCTTTCCGTTACGTAAATTAATAGAAAAGTTGATACTTCTTCTGTTTGCATTTTTTTTCAGTTCCGCAAGAAGTTCTTCGGGTCTTCCGCTTCTTCATAGACATTCTTCGAAACAATTTTGCAAATTGCAGCGTGACACGTTGTGTAATTAGTTTTTTTTTTTTATATCCGTCTACCTCGTAGACGTATTTGTACGATCGCACAAGAAACTAGTAATTTAGTCGCGCCAAAAGCATCGCCAAACAAACGAAAAATCATGCATATTGAAATTAAATGAACTCTTTACCTCTCATGGATATGCCTCAAAGTTCCGAACCGCTTCTTGATTTCCCTTCCCGTCCGATCCAAATCGCGCGTCTTACGATCAAAAAAGATCGCGATGGGATTCAGTTATATTATCTCATGTCTTTTTACAGCGAAAGAAAAACTTACGTACGTAGAATCACGTAGCGAGATCACTCAATCATGCTCATCTTTTTTTTTTGTTTTTTTTTATTGCAAAAAAAGTATCGTATCTATCAAAAACAAAGCTTCGCCTGCAGCATTTCTTTCTCTACATCGTTGAAACCACTCGCGCTCGCTGTAAGCAATTTGCATTGGCTTCGAGCAGCGAAAGTTCAAGGTTTTTTTTTTTTTTTTGCAAGTAACGAAAACGTTTCGCACAATTTTACGATCGAGTTAGTTTGATTTACGTGAGCGTTCTCCGTCGACGAATGTCTTTTGAGCGAACTAATACAGTCATTACACTCGATTGCTCTTTGTTAATCAAAAACTATGCATTGTTCGTTACACAGAGTCGAAAAACGAATGCAATTCGCGAACACATTCTTTTGCACGAGTGTGGACGAGATTTCGCTCAAATATAACGCACCTTTTTTCCTGTCAATCTTGCGACACCGTCGGTCTTTTCCCTTACGCTAAATAGTCAGTCTCTCATAATTATTTGACATTGCTTATTTTTTTTTTTTTCTTATCGAGACAGCGATTTGGAGAACAATGACGTCAGTGAGCGTCGACAAAGTCAAGTGGTAATCCTTTTAATTGTATAAACACGTGTACCCGACGCGCTATCTGTTTTCTCAACGAAGCGACGTTGTTTTTCCGTAACCGTTCAGATGCAAACAGTTGCCACCGCGTTGTTCGCACCACCACGTAACGGGAGAAAAAGGACCGAAGAAGCTTGGAAACTTTTTCCCAATGAACGAATGATCGTTTTCGTAAAGAAGATCACTGCGTTTTCACTCGTGTAGTGTAACGCTCATCGCAAGGGGCGCGGCGTAACTGAGCTTGGCAAACCAACCCTCGTTCTCTATCTCTGTCGGTGCCTCCCTCTTCGCCAACCTCGTTCCATCGCTTCTCTGCCTCACCCCTGCACTCTACATTTCCCGCTCTCACGCAGTCTCCGTGCTTTCCTTCGTTCCTCTTCTAACGCAATCCTTTCTCTCTTCAACGGTTCTCTCTCTCTCTCTCTCTCCCTCTCTCTTTCTCTCTCTCTCTCTCTCTCCCTCTCTCTCTTTCTCTCTCTTTTCTCATACTTTTCTTTGTTTCGCTCAATCTTGCGTTGTGACACGCAGACTATCTTTTTCACGATACAACTTTGCAGTTGCGATAGTTTTTTTTTTAACTTTAATTTGTGATAGAAAGAAAGATAAAGATCTAGATAGATAGATAGAGAAAGAGAGAGAGAGAGAGATAGAGAGAAAGAAAGAAAGAGAGAGAGAAAGAAAAAGAGAAAGTCAAAGAAAGAACAAATCGTACAATTATTGGTCGCTGCACTGCTATTAATCTTTTATGTATGTTGGCTCAATTACAAAACAAGATATATATGTGTTCTTTATAACTTTTGATATAATGTCACAACTCAATTAACATATATTAAATAACGTAATTGTGACTTACAAGAGCAATTTGACCAAATGTATTTGACAAGAATTTGATTTGATATTTATTCAAGCGGGAAACTCATTGATTCGAGTCAGGCGTATCAACGCTAATATCGAATGCTTCCAATTGCATTCTTGAAATGACCACGCGTATAAACTGACAACTGTATGTCGTGATATAATGACAGCGAGTATACACCAATATAACATCAACCAATGTGTCTCTACATGGGAAAATGATGATTATTTATTTGTATCAATAAACGAATCAGCCCACGCATTGAGCTATCCGTGCACGAAGATAGAATTTTGGAAATTATCTCTACAAGAATTAGATTAATCTTTGTGCATTGATGCGAATTGAAACAGATACGAGCGACGTTTAATTACATTGCGTGCGCGCAAGCAATAAATAAACTTTCACTGCGATGTGTATAATTTTCATGTAAATATATATACATACAACGATAACAGAATTTTTATTATATACGCAAGAGATAAAAAAAAAGTTCTTAAATCAATTGGAGGAGAGTCACTCTCAGAATTGTAAAAATGTGAAATTAAATTATTAAATTAAATTATAAAATTCATCTTTTTCAGAAATTTCTGTTTTGCGATGAGGAGATGTGGGAAAAGTCTCTTTTAAGAGAATTGGAAAAGAGCTACTTTAGGAATGTTTCTCACCGTTGTAAAAAAGAAATTTATAATAAGGAATAAATTTTAATTTCACACGCACGGTGTGTTGGCATACAGATTCAGTACCATAGATTTCGGAGAAATGTGAATTTAAGTTTTAGATTACACAAGTAAAAATACAGTCGCGACTTTAAAGATATGGCATTATTTAACAGTTTAATAAAAAAACAAAATTGCATGAACAGAAAAAGATAGTAAAAAAAAAGAGGCTAGTCCATTGAGAATATATACATACATACATACATGCATATATACATATATAAATATATATAATATATATATATATACACACACACATACATATTCTGTCCATTTTTCTCGATCCTCTATCGACACGTGCATCACAGTACGTGTCAATAAGAGTTCGAGGGTTGAAGTCCGCGATCATCCATCGTGAAAGACGTTCAACGTGTACGAGATAGCAATAAGGTTCAGCTTCACAAAATATTGTAACAACCTGTAGCTATAACTATTCGTACAGCGTTTGACAGGTGTTAGATATATATTCTAGATGCGCGCAATTTAATCGCGCGCGATTTATATGTTCATTTCTCTCGTTTTAATCATATTTTAATTATAATATATATGCCGCTTTGTTAATTTGTTTATTAATCTTGTGATTATTATTATATCTTGATTACAATTATTCATGATATTAATTGTTTGTAATTTATCCACACTTGTTTCATACATTATTTAAGAATAAAAAAATGCACGCTAATAAAGAAGTGATAATAATATTAACAAAGGATGTCTCTATAAAAAAGTTTTTAATTAAAAGTGAAAAAAATGTAAATAAAAGTAAGATAACATACGCATAATTTTTCTTATATGCATATGATGTATATCTTGCTATGTGTGACACAGTAACGAGCTAAAAACTTTTATTAAAAAATAAAGTTTCTTAATTACATAAAATAGGTGGAAATGCAAATTTTAATTACTGACAATAAGCTGTACTTACATATTAATATTACAAAAGTTCTGAATAACAAAGCATGTATACTTAAACAAATATTTCACGTTAATGAAAATGTACATTGTTTTATTTACGCAAGCGTTAGAATGTCAGCGTTAGTATAAATTGTTGCATTAGTGTCATATTTTGTAAAAACATTTTAGTAAAGTTACTTGTCACTTGTAAAAAAGCTATATTTTTTGTTAAAAAAAAAGAGCGAGAGAAAGAGAGAGAGAAATAATTATGTAAATATAATATCATAAATTATAATTATACGACTTCGAAAACTTGATGCATGTTTAAAGATTCCGAAGAAGCACGTAAGTAGCGATGGAAATCTCAGGTGAGAAGTTCAAACTCCGCGAGAAACTCGGACCACAAGTACTTTATAAATATTATTCCGCTCCCTGAATAGAAAGTAAAAGAATACATTTCGCATAAGAGAGATTTGTCGACGCGGCACTAAGTACCGTCCGTAACGATGAGCTCCTATCTGGCTAATATCTACTTTATTTATAAAACAAATGGTGCACAAAGTGTTTGCTAATACTCCGTGTTGAAAACTTTATGGGCTTTTTACGTTGCGGTTGTAAAGACTCGTGAAATTGTTCATGAAATTATCGTTTCTTTCTAATTATGCGATTTAAAAACTAGAAACATCAGTGGATTAGGATCGTCATAGATCTATATTACATACAAGACAATTCCATTTATTTGATTCGAACAAAGCTTTAATAAAGCTCTATTAAATTTCAAAATCTACGTTTTTGTTTTGTAAATTAGTTATTAAATTTTTTTAATATCTATAAAATATCTATAAATTTCATTCAATTGTCATAAAATCTATTTTTGCTGAAACACACAGATTGAATTACACGCACATTTATTATTAGCGCACAATAAGAAAAAAGAAAAGTTTTAATGAATTTTATCAATTTATGTTTATACGAGCGCCACAGTGAGTATACGGCATGTAAAAAGAAAAAACTAGTTTATTTTTCACTGCAAACTGCATGACAAAAATTCGTATGAATAATAAATAAATCATAATACATACATTCATATTTTTTTTCCATGCATTTCTATCGATTTGTATTTCTCGTTGAATTCATCACATCGAACATATCTCTAACGAATTTTTTATTTAATTCAACTTTAATGTTCGATTCGCGGAATCTTTTTTTGCTCCTTTGCGAACTGGTAACTTTATAACTCCGTCGACGCTGAAGTGCCACTCAGAAACGACAGAAAACCGGAGAAACTCCGTTCGTATCTCAAGAAGGGATTTCGCGCGAACTGCTAATGCCGGATATTGAAGAATATAAATACAAAAAAATGACATTACAGTATTCTATAGATACGTAATCTGAATATGCAAAGTCAGATTCGTTCAGTTTCTCGAAAATAAATAGTATACGCGCATTACATATTACGTACAACAATTCCGACGTATAATCATTAAAGCAAATCGACTACATGTTAATTTAAAAAAATATGTTATCACTTAATGTATTTTGTTTGCCGCGTTGAAAAGAAAAACATACACATGTATGTATTTCTGTTGCTTGTGATTGTGGATACTCAGCATCCGCGATAAGTGCGACGCCCGCGTTCGCGAACGAAAATGTCGCAGAGCGATCGATTGATAAAATTCTGCATTCTTACCGTATCGACGATTTCAAGTCAGCGTAAAACGAAGCACACAGTCACTAACGACATTTCAACGACGACAACGGCAACTCTCGAGCTTTATTCTCTTCGATATCGGCGCGCGATATTAAGTCCTAGAACGGTTTATTCGGCTAATGTCGTATTTGCTAAGGTACGAGCGCAACGAAATATGTCACGCGCACTTATATTCCACTCGATATACAGCAGCGTCAGCTGAACGCCGACGATAAGAAGATTAACACATTTGCTTATATCGCGCACGCGAGAAAGACAGACAAACAGATAGAGAGAGAGAGAGAGAGTGCATAATGAAACTTTGTTTCGCACTTGTTATCGATGTGAGACAAATTTGACATAAAGCGGATTATCATTCGCTAATGCGCAAAATTGTTCGGACTAATGAAAATGCATTAGCTACTTTCGTACATCCCCAATAATAATTAGCCTCACGAGCAAGAAGTATTTACCCGATATACAGAAAGTAATCCTCTCTTTTTCTGTGCAAAAATATCCTACAGTTGTTAAATATCCTACAAATTATATGTTCAAACTTATATTCGTGTTCAAAAAACATAAAAATTAAAATAAAAATCACTTTAACAACAAACAAATAAAAATCGAGTAAAGTTTGCTAAAGCATTTAAATTTTTCCTTCACACTTGAAGTGTTCTAAAAAGTTATTACTTCTCTAATTAAAAAAATTGCCGCAAAGTGGGCGAAAATCCAAGTAGTAATCGTATAATATGGACCGA